TTGGACTGATAGTAAGGCCAAGCACAAGAGATCATGTCGTTCTCTATTCGGGTCCAGTCGGCTTCTTTTAGGTGGGAGCCTATCATTTTCTTAGTATTTTTGAGTGGTGGTGTATAAATATTTACTCCCATATGATTTTTCCATGACTTTTGGCTTAGCTTTTATTCATTTTGTCAACTACTAGCCATATATTGTGTTTGGCCTGGAAAATCTTCAAAGGTACGGCCTACGAGTTGCTTTTCAATTGCCTGCACCTACTTTAATATATGTCTTCATTAATTGTTTGCAATGCTTGAGTTTGTCATTCTTCCGCCATTTTCTTTTGTTTTGGCAAACTTGCGGTTTCTTACTTTTCATCTTAATTTGAACTTAATATTATAACTTTGGTATATTGTGAAAATAATTTCGTCGACAGAACATACAAGGTGGGACTGCATTGGTTCTAGGATATGATGAAAGAGAAGTATAGTCAATGTTTGTGGGTGGGAGGATGGTCGGATGACACAAGTAGATGGCCCTACGGGCGGGCGAACGACAGGTCCACGGTTAGGGTCAGAAGGAGCTGTTGAAGTCTGTTGATTGAATGGAAAGAATCATAATCATCGGAAAGAATTATTGTTGCACCAGTAAAAGATCAATGCCAATTTGGTAAGCACTTCAATTCATTTTGTTGATCATAGCCTGGTATTATTTGTTATATGTGCAAATATTTTTTATGGATGATGGATGTATGTTAGATAAGATTCTTGCTTTCATCAAGGGTTGTGTGACTGGAGTCGTTGATTGTATACTTCAATTTGGACAAAAAATATAAACTTGCCAATGGCAATGGTAAGTTTACTTTTTACCTATAAAATATAGTTAATATTATTATTATTATTATTTGGGTTTTTTTTTTTAGAATTTTATGCGTGGGACTTTTCATTCTGACCAGATTTTTTTTTTCTTTTTTTTTGGTAATTATTATTATGGTGTTAGTTGGGTGCTGATTTTTTTGTTCTCTCCTTTGGTTCCTAATTTAATGTAATTGATGGGAAGTTAAATATATAATATAAGGTATTGATATGGGGAATACTGCCTTGGAAACATGTAGGCTGCAAATAAAATTTGACGTAATGATCTAAGTGTAGGTTGTGATTTCGTGATAAAAACAAGCTCATTATTATGGATTTTGCTCCGCTCTGAATTAGGCTTTGATCGGTTTCTCGAGATAACCTTTTGTCTATTGAGCTGGTCACTTAAGTTGAGGGCATGAACCAGTGATCATGAGGGACAACCTGCCGAGTGACAGATGCATATTGATAACCTTTTATATAATATTTTTTGGGGTACATGTTACTGTACATCATATATAGACTTGCTCGTACGTTGAAAACTACTTATATATTGAAACAAGAAGGTTCTTGTGATAAGATTTCCCCTCTTTTAGTTTGTGTATGAAATCTACTTCCATGGGATGATGTCTTTATGTGGCGTGGGTATTTATATATTTATTCTGATACACATAGTATTTTATAAGATTACAATTCCCAGATTTAATCATGATATGAATTGTGATTTCTGTGTTCACAAAACTGCAAATACTTTTTGTGCCAATATAGATATAGCTATTGTGAATTCTGCATAGGTGATTCCACAAGTTCTCATCATCTGTTATCATTTCTCCTAGACACGCGAATGATAATAGAAAAAGTTATGTTATAGGATTTCTGATGTAATTGTAAGAAGTACAGAACTTTGTCTTTAGAACGAGGGGCAATGAGCTAGCAATTTTGTCTAGGAATGAGGGACAATGAATTTCATAATGGGACTATGTTTAAAATTTTATATTTTGATTTTTTTTTTTCTCATGAGTAGAAGTATTTATATCTGGAATATATGTGGCTTTTGGGTATTAAGTTTAATGCATATTATAGACATCATACATTTAGCCAAGACCTTAGCTTCAGTGGATCAGAATTTGGTACTGATATGTACTTACAAGAACTACCTTTTTTATTTTATTTTTTTATTTTTTCTATTTATAGAGTTGCTCTCTAGCTTTTTGATTTTTTTTTTTTGGGTTCTATTATGGCATTTTACATCATTAGAAAATTTTGAATTATATAGATGCTCAATAGTTTAGATAATGATGAGAAGAATGTTATAGGATCAGTGGTTGGGAAATTCTCTGAAAGTTGAGGTCGATGAAAAGAGTTGTTCAAAAATTCAGTTTGACTTCCATGAAGAGATCTCTTCTAATTGTGAGTATCGATGCTTACAAATAATCACTAAAAGTTTAAAACGTGTGTTGTGGCAGTTTTCAGAAGCCAGGTGATTGTTTTGACTAAGGCTATGTTTGGTAAAACTAGCTGATAAGCTAGCTGATAGCTGATAAGCTAGCTTATAGCTTATATTTAATTTTTGAGCTTATAGCTTATAGCTTATGACTTATAGCTGAAAAGCTAGCTTATATGATAACAGGTGTTTGGTAAATTAGTTGATAAGCTAGCTGAAATAAAAAATTCAACTAGCTTATTTGAAAAACTACCTAAAGTAGCTTATGAAATAAGCTCGAACTTTTTAAAAAAGCTCGTCCTACCAAACGAGACTTATTTTAAATAGGAAGCTTATAAGCTAACTAAATAAGCTAAAAGCTAGCTTAATTGGTTTACCAAACATACCCTAAATGCTTATGACTATGAAAAGCAAATAATTTATGTGGCATTGCAAATAAACAACATTGTTTCTATGTGCCAAATATATTTCTCAAGTTATATAGAATTCTGATTAATAGAATATATTACAGTTCAAGTATGATTTTAAACCAAATCTAAATTGTACTGTTTTTTATGTGACTGTCTCAGTCCACTCTTCAACCAAATCTAAATTGTATTAATTACCCTGACAATTTTCATCGTGACAGACCCGAAGACAGAAAATCATCATCCAGAAGAATGAAAATGGTTTCCTACTTCCCATAGCCATTAAATTTTCCAAGAGTGGCTTGAACTTTTATTCTTGAAGCTGATCGTTAATTTTTTTACTTCTATCAATTTATTTTTTTTATTATTGGTATTATTTGTTTTTATAGCTTGACGAAGTGAACTTATGCTTCATAATGGAATATATAGACTTAATGATACTTTGTTTGTCTATGTTATATAAAGCATATATATCAAATTTTTCATATTAGGTTATAATTCTGAGTTTCTTCTTTCTCACTCTTGCTAATGCTTAAATTTGAGGCACCACAGTGCGGGAAAGAAAATAATGTAGGGTCATAGATGCCATGACTTTATAACTGAAAACAACATTGTTGAAATTTATTCGTGAGTTTACACAAATAGCACATGATGGAATTGAAATAATTGTTTTTAAGGTTCTCCTTTAGTGCAACTTTGTGGCACTTTTTGGGTACATTGTTGAGCATATAGTAATCTTTTGTGCTTTTCAACGCAGCTTCTCAAATATTGTGTTAAAACAAAAAACTCTATTAACGCTTCTATAAATTGGTAGATATCTTATTAAATTATTGCATTTTTTAATTCCGTATGCATTGTTGTTAAGGTATTTAAATCTAGATTTATAAATGCCACAAAAGGTGGGTATGTGTATTTTTAAATTTTTCCAAATAATAGTTGTAATTATAGACTGAACTAGGACCGGCTGTGCGTGCACAGCCATCGACCAACTAGTATTTATATATATAATTGCTGGCATATAACATTAATAAAACCTCTAAAATTTTCCTTCTATTTTCGGTTACAAAATTTATCATTAATATTTTTTACTTCTCACATTAATACACCATATTGAGTGTAATCATGTATGTTTCTATTATATTATATAATATTTATTGCTAATACCAACTAATAATAATTCGCAATAAATATAAATTACATAATTATACAATTGTTTCAAGTTATTTATATTAACATCAATATTATATTTTTCTTTTGTATCTCATGAAAAAATTTCTTTAAAAACAATTAATAAATTATTTTAATAGCATAGTCAAACAACTTTAGAAGCTTATAAACAATTATTTTTTTTAATAATAATAATAATAATAATCACATTGTTATTATCTAACGATAATAAATAATTGTTTATAATAAAATCGTTAATTTATTTTTTCTAATGATCAAATTTTTGAAAATGTAATATATTCATTATGTAGAATTTTAATATTAAATATTAGTTATAATATTTTATGTACATCTGTGTATGTGCACGAATATTTACCAGTTTAATTTGATAGTTAAAGTCCAGAAGCCCACATAATTAGGTGGGAGAGGTCAACAATATGGAAAAGTCAACAATTAGGATTTGGCATATTATGAAAGTCAACAAGTCTTTTCGACCGTTTTTGCTTGAGTGGTCTATTCGAGTCTATAAAAACAGGTTAGAAAATGTAGAGATCTCCACAATTACTGGTCTATTCTATTATAAGTAATATATATATTCCTTCTTCAGTTAATACAGTGTTGGAGAAGATGATGGACAAAATTGGAAGAGGGAGGTGGTCAACAGTGGCTGTGCTAGCGTGGTTAATCTTCTTCGTAATTTTGAATCCTCTTAAAGGCGTTTATAGCTATACAGATAGCGATGGTTTGTAATCCTTTTATTCTTGAGCTATTTCTATTCATCTATTATTTTATTTACATCATTTAATTGTCTGTTGTTTGCTTGAACTTTTATATAATTTGTTCGGGTTATATATAATTTTCAATAAGGTTACACTGTAACAAAAAAATAAAAATTATTAATTATGTTAAAAAAGATATGTGAACGTGTTTACATTTTGTCCAAATGTGTTGATAAATTTCTATGGATCAGTAAACCCTACCCCAGGCGAAGCTAAGAGGGATGTCTACTCGGTGTGGGCCTTGCCGCCGGTGGAGCTGACGCCGCGGCTGAAGAAAATGATGGAAGACCTCAGATCGGAGTTCGCCGGGCCCCAGTTCGAGCCCCACGTGACGGTCGTCGGCGCCGTCAGCTTGACCGAGGCGGAGGCCCGCGACAGGTTCGCCAAGGCGTGCGAGGGACTCAATGCGTATGGTACCACCGTGGAGAAAGTCGCCGCCGGCACCTTCTTTTACCAGTGCGTTTTTCTCCTCCTTCATCCGACGCCTCAGGTACATTCTGTGAATTCTATCTTCTTAGTTCTTCCCCTCCTTTTTGGTGTTGTGTTTAGTGGAAATTTAAAATCGAGCATCTAGTTTGTTTACTTTTTATTTGTTTCATTCAATTACGTCTATTCCCTTGAAAGATGACAAAAATTTAGAGCTTACTGCTTGTTGATTTGGGGTGGCTTTTTGTGAATGAAGTGGATGATCAGGGGAATTCGAGGATAAATTTGTTCGTGCTAATCGAACCTGCCCGACACCTAGGCTCGTGCCGGGTCGATGGCCCGGCGTGCCGGGATCGACCCGGCGTACCGGGCCGGGCCGAGCCCCGAGTTTGTGTAGTTTTTCCACTGTTTCAATACATGTTTACTGAAGTTAAGGATGATGAGACAGTTACTGGCATGACATTGTTATTGCTAAAATCTTCAAAACAGGTGGTGGAGGCTAGTGCTCATTGCTGTGGTCATCTCGGTTACAAGAACTCAACTCGTAAGCTGCTCATCAACCTTGCTAATGTCGAGACTTGGATTTTTTTTTTTATTTTCTTTTTTACGCCAAAGCTTTTGACCGTGTGTCGAGTTCAAATGTGGAATTAAAAGCAAACCCGTTACATGAATGTGATTTATGAACGCAACAAGGTGTAGTCGACGCTTGTTCTGCTTTGGAATTGTACGAGAAAGAGCTTAGAAAGTAGAGAAAGTTCTCGATTTTCTAATATGTTGAATTTTTGACAGCGTATATGCCTCACTTGAGCCTACTCTATGGGAACTTGACGGATGAAGAGAAAAAGAGAGCTCAAGAGAAAGCTTATGCTCTTGATGATGGCATTGGCAATTTAAGCTTCCAGATATCTCGTCTGGCACTGTACAAAACCGACACTGAGGACAAGAGCTGCAAGTCATGGGAGAAGGTGGCTGAGTGCAACCTCAAGCCTTAATAATAGGTCCTAATGTGGAAAAATTGGTCCTAGGTTGTGAACTAATTTGTCTCCTGTAAACCGTGAATAAGAGACTTGGAAAATTACGAAGGACATGCAATAAAACTGATTATGGTAATGTTGTGCCATCGTTTAATGGTAATTTTGTCTTTCTACTTGTGAAGTGGTGCTATGACACTAATTTGTGCATCGAGATCTTGGTTTGTATCACGCGTGAATCGGGTAATCTTTGAAATGGCAAATTGGGCTATCAAATGAACGCAGGGCACATCAATACATTCTAATGATCACCATGAATTGAAATTTAAGACGAAAAGGAAATTGGGTTCATGATCCATGATGATTCAAACCAATACCTACAGTAAGTCATAAACAGATAGCATAAAAGTTTCACATGGGATGTACCGAAAAAACTAACAATCAAGACCTACGAGAACAATATTACCGGACTAAACACACTACATTTTACCCAAAATACTCACCAGACACCAATCTTCACCTTCACAGGTAGTGGCCACCGACCTGGAAACCGCGCTCTCCCCATCAACCAGAACCAAACTCTCCATATACATCTCCACGTGGAACGAGCCCATGGCCCCACGAGTGGGCAGATTGTCCAAGAAATCCTTATCTGGATCATAACAATAAAGCTTGTTACCGTCTATGGTGCCCATTATGTTCCCATTGTCCGTGAACCCCACGAACAAAAAAAATCCCGGCATTGTATCAACATTGTACAGCTTCCTCCACGACCCCACCTCCCCATATTCCTCCATGACCCACACATGAGCAATCCCCTTGACCGGGGTGCGGTCCACTACAAGGGCAAGCTTTTCCCCAAGCACCGCCAAGTGAATGTTCCAGGCCCACTCGCGTGCACTCTCGGGCAAATCTATACCGCCATTAAACGCCTCATTTCTTGATAAAAAAACATGGTATAAAGAAATCACAAACATGCTGTAATCTGGAAAAATAAGAAAAACTATTGCCTTCATCATTGAGAGTACAAAGACGGCTACAAATTCAGTACAATAAACCCTACAACCTATCATTGAGTATAAATACTAGCCAAAAGAACAAGCTAGAACGTGGACACTTGTCACGATCCTACTACATAAGATAAAGATAAAAGATGCTCATCTTATGGTCTCATTTGAGCTATGAAGGCAGCTGTCAAATATGTCTTCATGCAACGTGACAAAAGAGCACGTTGGGTCCATGCAACTGAAATGGGAAGCAGGAGTCTTATGGCCAGGGGCGGAACCATTCATATGATTGGCCGGGCTGTAGCCCGGATGGCCTCTCTGCTGCCGACCCAATTATATAGTGTTCATTCCTTTTT